GTATCTTACACAATTTTTTCACTTCAGTTTTCCCAGATGCTGATTTTTCTTTAAAATAACCAAAACCTACTCATAGATATGTATACACACGCACATATACACATATACTCGTACACACGAACATATAAAAAAAGATACATAATAATCACATGCAAAAACAACCAAACATACACACACGGACAGTGAGAAATACACACACACATACACAATATACATGCACGCACACACACATACATATGCACAAACAAATTCATAAACAAACACTCACGCACAAACAAATAAATAGACAAACACATAACAACAAGCAACCACTTTTAACCAAGCCACTCACACATGAACACAACAAACAAACACAATCACCCACAAACAAGTCCTCATACACCAAACAAACAAACAAACACACATAACCAACCTCCCCACCCACCCGAAAACATACAAAAACAAACACAATCACCACAAAACAAAGCCCTCACACACAAACACACAAACAACCCCACCCCATCCCCCCCACCCATACGCACGTGCACTCACCCACATCCACAAACAAAGCCCTCACACACAAACAAACAGACAACCCACCCACCCATCCCCTACCCCTCCGCCCCCATCCACACATACGCACGTGTACTCACCCACATCCACAAACAAAGCCCTCACACAACAAACAAACAAACAACCCTCCAACCCCATCCCACCCCATACGCGCACTAACCCCACCACAAACAAAGCCCTCACACACAAACAAACAACAAACAACCCCCCACCGCCATCCCCACCCCCCCACCCACCCACCCATACGCACGTGTACTCACCCACATCCACAACAAACCCTCACGACCCACAAAACAAACCCCTCACACACAAACAACAAACAAACAACCCCCCCATCCCCACCCCCCCCCCACCCACCCCATACGCACGTTACTAAGCCCCACCCACAAACGAAACCTCACACTCATAACAAACAAACAAACAAACAACCCCCCACCCCATCCCCCTCTTCCGCCCCCGTCCACACTATACGCACGTTTACTCACCCACATCCACAAACAAACCCCACACACAAACAAACCAAACAACCCCCCCCACCCACCCACCCACCCACCCACCCATACGCACGTTACTCACCCACATTCTACAAACAAACCCTCACACACAGAACAAACAAACAAACCCCCCCCCACACACCCACCCACCCACCCACCTCATACGCCACGTGTTACTCACCCAACATCCACAAACAAAAGCCCTCACACAAACAAACAAACAAACAAACCCCTCCACCCCATCCCACCCCAACGCGCGTTTGTACAACCCCACCCACAAACAAACCCTCACACACAAACAAAACAAACAACAACACCCCCCACCCCAGTCCTCCCACCCCCCACCCACCCACCCCATACGCACGTTACTCCCCACATCCACAAAAACCCCTCATTCACACAAACACCAAACAAACAACCCCCCCCCATCCTCCCACCCCCCCCACCTCACCCACCCCAACCGCACGTACTAAACCCCGACCAACAAACAAACCCTCACACTTCAAACAAAACAAACAAACAAACAACCCCCCACCCCACCCCTCCCGCCCCCCTCCACACATAACGCATTCGTACTCACCACATCCACAACACAAATCCCTCCACACACAAACAAAACAAACAACCCCCCCCCCCCACCCACCCACCCACCCACCCACCTCATACCACGTTACTCACCCACACCACAAACAAAGCCCTCACACACAAACAAACCCAAACAACCCCCCCCACCCACCCACCCACCCACCCACCTCTATACGCACGTACGTGTACTCACCCACATCCACAAACAAAAAAAAAAACCCTCACACACAAACAAACAAACAAACAACCCCCAACACCCCCCATCTCCACGCCAACCCACCCACCCTATACGCACGTACTCACCCACATCCACAAACAAAGCCCTCACACACACACAACAAACAAACAACCCCCACAACCCTCACCACAAACACCCACCCACCCCCCACCCATTCCCACCCACCCCACCCACCCCACACATGCCACGTGACTCACCCACATCCACCTTCTCCCCCGTGCACGCCTCTTCCATCCCCGCGCACTCATTCCATTTCGCCATCGTGGCTCTGAAATGATTGGGGGTTTCGGTTTCTGTCCATCAAGCCTTGACGCCCCCCCCCCTCCTACCTTCCCCCTTCTCTCCCTCTCTCTTTGTCTCTATCTTCGTTCTTTCTTTCTTTCTTCTGGTTCCATCTTTTTTTCTCGCTCTCTCCTCTTTTCTTTCTCTCTCTCTCTCTTCTTCTTTCTTCTCTCTCTCTCTCTCTTCTCGCTTCTCTCTCTCTCTCTCTCTCTCTCTCTCTCTTCTCTCTCTCTCCCTCTCTCTCTCTCTCTCTCTCTCTCTCCTCTGCCTCTCTCTCTCTCTCTCTCACTCTCTTTGATTTTTTTTTCTAGCTTGGGTGTTTCTTCTCTTCTTCTTCTTCTTTCTTACTTCTCTTTTTTTCCTTTCTCTTTCTTTTCTGTTTCCTGTCTCTTTCTCCTTTTTTATTTGTTCTTTCTCTTATTATCATTTCTTTCTTCATTTTCTCTCACTCTTTCCCTTTTATATTATTCTCTCTCCTTCTTTTCGTTTTTTTTCTGTCTTTCCCATTCACTTTTTGCGTTTGTTAATCCCTTGTACATTTGTCCTCCTTATTTCTTATTCTTGTCCACTTTTTATTCCTATTTTTCCTTTCTACCTCTTCCCTTTCTGTCGCTCCCCTGTTCCTTATTTCATACCGATTCTCTTTCCCTCCCTTCTCTTTCTCTTTCTCTTTTCTTTCACTTACCCTTTCCTTGTCCTCTTTCTACACTTTCTTCTTCTATCGTTTTTCTTCTGCTATTTATTTCTTCTCTTTCTACTTTTTTTCTCCTCCTCTTCCTCCTCCCCCTTTCTCTCTCCTCCTCTTTTTTCTTCCCTCCCCCACCTATCTTCCACCCCCCCTCAATCCTCTCTTCCCCCCTCCCCCCTTCTTTCTCCCTCCATCCACTCTCCCCTCCCTACATCCTTCTTCTCCCCTCCAACCCCCTATCCCCATCCTTCTCCTCCCTTCTCATCTCGCCTCCCCCGCCTCTCCGTCCCCCTCCTCCCCTCCCTCGACCCCCCTCCCCTCTGTCTGGCAATGCGGTTATCAAGGTCTTGTCAGAAATTCATTTTGTTGTTTCCTTCTTTCCTTTTCGTTAATTCTTAATTGCTTCTTGAGTATTCATTTCATTATTCTTGAGTTTTTTTCTTGTATCATAGTTGAATAAAAGTTGTGAGCAAGTTGATTTTTTTAGATTGTGGAATAAGCATACACATATGTGCGTATATGTGTGTATATATATGTAAATATACATATATATACACATAATATATATACATAACAGAGAGAGAGAAAGAGACAGAAGAGAACAGAGACAGAACAGAGAAGAGAAGGAGAGAGGAGGAAGAAGAGAATGAGAAAGAAAGAAAGCGAGAAGAAGAGAATCCGAAAGACAGTAAGATAAAGACATGGAAACAGAGAAAGAGAGAATCTTATCATGTCACTGAATTTCAAATAAAAGAAATATGTTAATTTCTTTATTACAGACCATGGATATAATCAGATTTTGAATGCATCTACAGCAAGACATTTGTAATACCACATAATTAAAGACATTCTTTATTATACTATATTCTACAAAAATAATTAATTTTTGATATTTTGCTGTACTATGCCATGTGTATTATGGAAATTCATATTGTCATAATCATTTGTTATCATCATTACAATCTATATCACCATCTTCATCATCCTCTTTATTATCATGGCCATCATCATCACTATCCTCATTACATGAGTATTGTTGTTGTAATCATTTTTACTATTATCACCATCATCCTTATTGTTACTTTACTATTATCATCATTATTATCATTATCATTATCATTATTATTATCATCATTATTATTATCATCATTATTAGTAGTATCAATTTTACTATCATTATCATTTGTTAGTTGGTTTGCACGATAACTAATACAAATTTGGAACAGATTTTTCTGAATTTCATATGAAAATTATCACTATCATTATTATCGTTATAATCATTATCATTATGATTCTCATCATTATCATTGATATCATTATCATTATTACTATTACCATTATCATTACTATTTTTTTACCACCATCATTTATTATCATTATAATATCACTGTCATAATCATCATCACTATCATCATCATTATTCATATCATTATCATTCGCATTATCATCATAATCCTTATCATCATTATCATTATCATCTTGCTCTTTTACTATAATCTCCATTATCATTATCATTGTTGTTATCCATATCATCAATGTTACTGTTGATGTTGATGTTATTATTGTTGTTGTTGCTGCTGCTATCAATAATAAAATTATTCCTATAAGTATCATCATTCTCATTTGAAGAAATATGGTATATCAAACCCATATCAATTTTTGAAGTACAGGCATATGCATCATCCCATCTTTAAACAAAATCATAAAATCATCTTTATCTAACTTATCCACACTCAAAATATCCAATCCTACAAACAAAGACAAACAACGCGCCTTTCCCTCCTCATCTCAACGACAAAGAAAATAAAAAAACACACAAAAAAACATATATCCTTGCATGTCTCTCTCTCCCGAGGAAAGTTCCCAACCCGTCTTAAAGAAAGGGACAAGACACTAAAAACAAAAAAATAAAAAATAAATAAAAGAAAGTCGGAGAGCGTAGTGGAAACGTCCCTGATATTGCAAGGAAAAAGGACAAGGGGGGGGGAGAGGGGGGAGAAGAGAGGAAGAGGAAGAGGAGGAGTCTACAAGTGTGAAATAAGGTCAGGAAGTATGTGTATGTATGTGTGTATGTCTGTAGTGTGATATATAAGCGTCTCCACAGCTGATATCTTCGTCATTTATCCTCTGCGTGAGACGAGAGACACCGCAGCTGTTCAAC